ACAATGTGTATAAAACTGTTTTAGATTCTTTGTTATTTAACAATGTGCATCATGATCAAAAATGGTTTCCATAAGAATAAGAGGAAATCAAATGATACATTTCCCAAGCTTGTTCATAGAATAATTGCGGTATTGTGTTACAAAGGATGGAATGACAAAGGGGTATCATCATCATCACGAAGAGATAAAGAAGGAATGGACAGATAAAAGGGGGTGAAAGGTACCATTATAAAGTTACCCCTTCCTTCAACCTACCCCTTCCAAATGACATTCCCTCACTCCCTACATATGCCCTTGGCGTTCATCCCTCCCCCAATTGTTTTATGGCGATAAAAATGCATTGTGGAATCCCTAAGTATTTGTCTCCCATTCCTACTCTCTCTCTCTTTCCGTCATCCCTCTCCCTCATCCCTCTCCATCCGTCCACAGTCTGACATACCTCTGCCCTTCGCTGCGACTTGACTCCGTCAGAAATCAAAATTGATTGTGTTGAAATGAAACAGATATGAGCTAGAGGTACCTTGCGTTGGTTGGAGTAGTGGTAGTATCGAGTCAATTTCAGAACCAGGATTGTTTTCTGTGTAGGGTGTGCTGTGTAGCTAGGAACAACAGTGTTTTGAATTTCGCCCCGCTTTTGGAATTTACGTACGACTTTAGGTGTTCATTAAATTTTTGTGGGATCATCTCGTAAACTTTGGTATGTATGCCATATTTGTTTGTATCCTGCCTTACGGACATAGATATGAACGTAATAATATATTTTGTCTATGCCTGTTTTGTGATGCAGTTCACGAATTCAGTGGACTTTCACCTAGAAATTATTTTGCAAGTTGATGTTGTTTTAGTTTTTATTGGCGTGTATCATGAATTTATGTATATTTATGCCAGTTCTTAATAGCTTTGTTCACCTTAGACAAGTTATTCTTCAATTTTTGTTGAAAAAGAATGCCTACCGGTATGCTGAAATGGATATATTTTTTGTTGTTGCAAAATTGTTTTGATATGCAACCTTTTCTCTTACCGGTAATTTCAATTTTAAGTTTCACTTGCAAAGTTTTGTGGCAAACGAATCTCTTTATCAGAATATTTTCTCATTGATTTAGTTTTATTATACACAAAAGGAGCCTTGGGCTAATAACAATACTTTAGTATGACATAGGAAAGTTTTAAAATATTTTATCATCTTCTTAGATGGTTGTAATAGGGACAATATTCTAATTAAGACAATATTGTTTCATTTATGAATTATCATGAAATATATGATGGAGGAAAAAAAAAATCAGTTTTTAGAATGTCTTCAGAGCTCTTTGTGAGAGAAAATGATAATCAGAGTATGGGATTTGGTATGCAGGTTCCATTTCTATGAATAAATTCCATTTTCATTTGCAAGTAATCATCTTATGCATGCTATATACACATACATAATATGTCTGCAGAGCTGAGTGTATCAAGGCCATCTATGTGTAGGAACTCAACAGATTCTCCAACTGTTCTAAATTTTCAGATCTCATAATACGAAATTCAAGTGAAACATCAGCGAATTCAGTGAAAGTTATGGTCGTTCTGATATGGTTTTATGAAACTTATACTGAATGTGAACATGCATTTAGGGAAGCCTCATATACAGGGCCTACTTAAGATCTCAGTATATACATACAGCCAGAAGGGCATTAACTCTGTGTTAAAGTGTATGAGTTATGTCCTTCTGGTTCCAAACATACAAGATATGTATACTGATGGGTATTTGACAAAATGCTCTTGTAGTGCCTACTCCAGATGGAAGGATATGTAATTTGTAAATTGTTCAAAATTTGTGTTATCATAATCAGAATTGCAGTAACACAGGAGTAGACTATTATTATAGTTTTTTATGACATCACAATTGGTGGCTTTCAAGTGTTTATAGCAGATATATTAGGCCTGTTTCATCAGCTCGAGTTTGCCAAATAACTCTATATTTTAACTAATCCCGATCCCAAATTAGCCAGTTAATTTGCGTCTTCATCAACCCGCAGTTGTAATTAGCGGATATTTGGTTGAGAAAATATCCAGAGACATCTTGGTCTTGTTTCCAAAATATCCCGCTATTTGGGAAAAAGCAGGCTAATTTGTGGCAATCTGTTTGTGAGCGTATGGTCTGGACACTCTGGTGAAGACGCAATGTCGAGCTTCGGGATAATATCCGGAGTCTGAAATAGTGGGTTATTTGGCAAAGTCGAGCTGATGAAAACAGGCATTCTGCCTCTAACTTATACGTTTAAATAAAGACTTAACAACTTTCTGACTCCTAGCTCATGATTTCTTAGATAATGATTCATTCAAATACAATGCCATGTCTGCCATGACATTGTATTCTATTTATGGGAACATTATCTTTTTTCTTTTTATGGACCATACCAGCATACTACAAGCATTACCTGTCATGTCTGTGCTATCAATTTACACAAATAGCAATTTGTAATGGACAAAACATTTTGACATACGTTCTCAATCTTAATGGACATAACAGTGAACAGATGCAGGCTTCCTCTAATAGGCAATTTACCCAGAAATATTTGATAGGTGAGTTCATATGCAGTATATATGGTGTTTTACTTCAGAGAAACGATATTAGAGCAGGTGTATATATTGCAAAGTGATTTCTTTTGAAGTGGGGAGGGGGTAGATAATTTACAATGTGTATTTATTTCATTGAATGAAATAAGTTGGCTTTATGTAGAGGTGTAGTGGTTGAGTGGATATGTCAACGGGCTGTCGATCACAAGGTCCGTGGTTCAAGTCCCGCCGCGGCACTTACGCCTTTGGCAAGACATTGATCTACATTTGCCACACTCAACCCAGGTGATGTAAATGGGTACCTGGCAGGAATTCATTCCTTGAAATGCTAGAGTGCCGTAATGGCAGCCGTGCTAAAGCCAGGGTAATAATCGGGAGCGCCAGGAGTGTCAAGTCTGACAGACATGAGCGCTATACAAGAATCCACTATTATTATTATTATTATTATTAAATGTTGGCCGTGTTAAAAGTAAAAACTAAATTTAGAGAAACATATGTGCTTGACACCCTTTCCCCTCTCGTAGTTATACCAGTACCATGAGAAGTCCTCTAAACAATATATACCATGTGAACGGGGGTCATCTTATGTTATTCTCATGCCCAACCATTCAATCAACCGCCCCACAAATGTACCAGCGATATTGATGCCAATGGCATTTGGACTTGTCGACAACTCATGTTGTTGTTCCTACCATTTCTTTGCCACATATGATTTACATTGATCATTCAGCAGGAGAAATCTCAACTTGATGTCGGATGTTTACATCCAGCCAGTCTGCAAATACCAAAATAAAATTCGCAGAAAGTGACATGATTATCCCTCCTGACAAAAAAAGGGAGAAGAGGGGTAGGCCTACATTTGCATCCACTAAATAGATAATTATGTTGTTTTATTTTAATGATAATTCTATCATGTCAAGATTAAATTTCATATTTGATTTAATTTGCTAAATAAAAACCAGTTACAAATGGGGTGACAGCAGGCAGGCCATTGCTCTCTAACCTCACCATACCTCTCAGCCCCCTATTCTCACTTTATCCCCCCCCCCCCCCTCGATTGTTATAAGGCGATCGACTTATGCATAGAATCTGGCTTATTTTTAAGTGTCATAATTTTATACTAAAGAAATGCCATCTTATCATTTGTTTCCTCAATCTTCACTCTGGTGTGTATATTAGAAACAATGGGCAAGCATGTCATGCAGTTTGCTAGCTGGTCATTAGATGATCAGGAACTTAAAGCTATCAAATTTCTTTGGTAAAACAAAAATGATGGTTACATTTTGATAAAACATGCGAATATCTACAATGAGAAAAATGTTTAACATACCGTAATACATTTTAAATAGAGGATGAGGTATTGGGTAATATAAGAAATTCAATTAGGAATCCTATTATGATAGATTCCATTAATTACTCACAAAGTAGAAGTTGAATGGACCTGTACCCGGCTTTGGTATTGTTTACATCAAACCCACAATCTACATGCCCAATTAGCTTCTATTTGTCTTCCAATATCATCCAAAGACAATCATGCTCACCCATACGAAAATTGGTTTACCCCCGCAAACCCAGCATCCAGACTTTAAATAGGCAGTTTGGGCATATTTGTAATTCTATCAAATTCTCATAACTGCACGCTATATTAGCCGCTCCATTCAATAGCGGTCTAGATCTGTATTGATGTCCGCAAACAGAATGGGCATGGGTTGTTGCACACAGCTGAGGACGTTTGCCTATACACAGTTGACATCGCTTGAGTCAACAATGGAAAGGTTTTTAAGTAAATTTGCGGAGCCTTTTCAGTGTCGGTGATGGGACAAAAAAAAAGAAACCGTGGGATATGAAAGAGAGTCTGATGACATGTGAGAGAGAGAGAGAGAGAGAGAGAGAGAGAGAGAGAGAGAGAGAGAGAGAGAGAGAGAGAGAGAGAAGAAAAGGGGAAAAGAAGAGGAAAATGGTTGTGTGTTTATTGTGAATTGGAGTGTTCAAAACACAATCTTAGAGTCGTGTGCGTAGAATAGTATCCCCTCGTGCTGGTTCAATGTATTCATTGAGTCAAGTTGGAGTTTTTGAAAGTGAAAACTTATTCATTCGAGCGAGTAAGCAGAAAGCTTGAACAGTTCTTGAGGATTTATACTTAGGATGTCAGTGATTTTCAACATAGTAATTACAAGGAATATATAACGCCTATGGATTAAATCAGAGTTATATGCTTCATCGCATTGGAGAAGTTTTCAAGGATCCACTTTTTTCTAGACTGGTCTTAACGCACATAGAAGTGAATAGAGTGCACACTTTTTAAAGATCCCAGCTTCTGGACTTCAAATGGTTCCATCTTCTCAAATTTTCTCTACAAAAATGTTATACAGTTATAAGTGTCTAAATGGACCCAATCTCGTGTATTTATAGATCAGTATTGGAACATGTTGCGGTAGGAATCTATAGCTTGTTTTGTGTTATGTACAGCTGCTGTTGAATTGTGTTAGTATTGATCTGTTACACATTGTGGATAATCGTCTGTGAAATCTGGGTGCTCGTGCCATGGAGTTGTCAATCACGAATATAACAGTGAACTCTTGGATGTTTTGAAATGAAGAATGCATGCAATGTAAGGTGATATTGGTCGGCATTGTGAAAGTATGATGTTCTCGTATGGAGAGACACAGGTATGTCTTGACTCTTGAGTGGTGTCGGAAACACAAAAAATATTTATTTTTTACATATTTTTTTTTCAGTGTCAAACTGAGAGAAACTATACCTTTATGCCACTCATTCACTTAAAAAATATTAGGCCAAATGATAAGTATGAAGCAGAGCTCTGCTCTGAAGCTGACTATAACCTCAGCCATACCTCATGCAATCTGGTCCATCACATCGCCAAACTGACTCAAGATCGACTCTGTACACTGACCAATTCTTTGCCATTCCTGGTAATGTAATTTTTTGTTTTAACTGTCCTCAGTTTGGTGATGGTCTTGTTGGTGCAACTAGGGTATCAGCTTGCTATCAAATGAAGTAGGTTTTCTCAGGCTTTGATAGACGAAATTACTCTGCAATTTCCTGTTCATAATGAAAATGAAGTCATTGTCAAATTATTAATTATTAAAACAACAGTGAAAACATTGATGTTGATTATCACTACATTTGTCATCCTATCAGTGAATTAGTGAAATCTGATAGATGAAAATAATGATGTTTATCCTAAAAATGGAACTATCCCTGTGATGTTCACACACACACATTTTTCCGTGATTAGGCCGTTTCGGGATAGTTGTACCGTTTCGGGATAGTTATACAATGAAATTGTGTGTGTGTGGACGCTTACTAATGATACGTCATATAACAAAACGATGCCCAAACATTTGTTTGGTTATACGACGTATAAAGAATCACGCCTAATCACGGAATGTGTTGTGTATGGACGTAACTAGTATAACTAATCAAACTAGAACTGGGCGGGGCTTAACGTGACCTCAAGCGAAAGGAGACCTGACCTCTCATTTCCGCTTCCATTTCATGATCGCAGTAGTAAACTGCGCACCTATAAGACATTTCGCTGTAGAGTTTCGGGATACATTGTTTTGTGTGTGGACAAGCTGTATGTTAGCATTCTTATATCCCTTTAATGCACTGAACAGATAATTGTGTATGAGCTTACTACCTGTTGATTAGGGTATTTATCATTGAGATAGAGGAGGATTAGATAAGCTTCAGGAGCTTATATTGTACAGTTATAATCCTAACTGTCATTAATCCCATCCCATCCCACAACCTATTAGTCTGGAGACACATTAGGCCTACAGTCTGTTTGGATTCAGAAGAGCATTAACTCATTCCTTAATACATAGTTAACGCCCTACTGGCTCCGAACAGATGCTGTCAATAAGCTTTTACATTAGATCCCGCCCCCCCCCCCCCCACTCAGTGTTATTTAGGGTACGCACATGCGTGTTCCCTCCTTTTGGAAACACTCCCTAAGTCCGGTGTTAAGTCAATTTTGTGTATGTACGAGCCGGACTTTGGTGCGTGAAAAGTACCCCTTTACCGGGCATTTTGGTAACACGCATGCGGTCATTCTGATCCAGGAGTGGGGGGGGGGGGGGCCGTGCATTAGATACCTCAAGGATTTGTCACAAAACTTCCTCAGGAACATCTTCATTGATGCTGTGAACGTTTAGACTGTCCAAACTTTGATCTGATTTATACATGCCTAAAGAGAAAAAAACACAATCACACACTCATGATGGTTTCGGCATGAAGCAAAGAGTACTGAAAGTCAGAACTTCTGACTCAAGCTCGAAAGCTGTTTATACCAGTAATTGCATTTAGAAAACAGTGTATGACTGCACCAAATAAAAATGTAAATTCGGTATTCATCACAGTTTCATACAAAATAGAAACTGCTTAATTTTTCAAAAGTGTTGGTAATACATTTTGTTCTGATTTTTCCATGACCCATTTTTTACTTCTTTCTTCTCTCTTTTTTACAATCTACCTTGGGGTATCAACTTATTTTGCTGTACCCCCCCCCCCCAAAAAAAAAAACAATAATGCACTTCTATAAATCCAATTACTGGCAATGGTTGATCTTTTATCATGCAATAGATTGGTTTCTTGGGCATGGTGTAGCATGAGAAGCCTTTCATACATTGCTTTATTGCTTTATTGCTTATAAACTTCTTACCCTATAAGTTCAGTACGTACAAGTTATTGGTACTCTTTAATTTCCAGTGTGTGAAGTTATATTTAATGCTGTGAGACTGTATTTTCCATCATAATCTTACTTCATGGTTACTTCAGGAAGCCATTGTACCATTTCTCCCCCTTGTAACAATGGTTAAAAAATGCAAGATTCACTTACAGTTACTTTTCCCTTCTCTCTCTCTTTCTTCTTGTATAGCCTTCAGAAGCTGTAGAGTCTAAGACCCATACATTCAAGACCCGGGTATTCAGGAACCCCCATAGCTGTGGTTTTTGTAAGGAGATCATATGGAATGAAGGCAGAATCTGCAGAGGTGAGTTGCATGCCCCCCCCCCACACACACACCCATCGAACTGCCCCCTCCTCCCTCCCACCTCCATCAAACTGCCCCCCCCCCCCCCCGTCGCCCATTAAACTGCCCCCTCCTCCCTCCCCCCCCCCCCCCCCACGCCCACCAAACTGCCCCCTCCTCCCTCCCACATGACATTATGTTAAACCAAACCAGAGTCTTTTGCAGCAGGAAAGTTATGTGAATCACAGTGAATCAGTGTTGCAATTTAATCATATAAATTCATCAAATTTATGCAAATCTAAACTATACCTTCTGATAATGGACCGGTTACATTGTATTTATGTTAGTAGATTAGTGAAAAATTAATTGTGAAAAGGTGTTTTGCTCATGTTGAGATACTTTTGTATTTTCACCCCCAAATGAAGTACTACAATGGTAATACCGCAATTGATCATTACCATTAATAATGCTTATTTCTTTCTTGTTTTCTAATTTTGTCTATGTTGCAGTATGTAGATTTGCTTGCCATAAAAAGTGTGAATATAAGGTAAGTGATATAACTTCATTTTGCCAATTTTGTCATGATTTTGATGGCCAAAAATGATATATTACTTGAAATGAGCCAAGAAAGTTCTAGATGATGGATAAATGCATGTTTTAATGGGGAAATTAAGTTCACATTTGGCATGATTAGGGCTAGAGGTCATAGTAATGAAATGATCTGTTTAGAGCCGAAAGGTTTTAACTTGTATGATTTTACAGAGTTAATGCCCTTCTGGCCTTAAACAGACGAAATGAATTGTGCATTCCATTAATATCTCCAGGGTATCATTGGAATAGTTAGGAATAATCTGGCAACACATATGGTTGTGCGGAATGGAAGGAAATATGAAAGTTCAGAAAGAAGATTGGTACTGGTAGGGAGAAAAGGAAAGATAGAAAGAGAGATTGAAATCTGAGGGAGAGAAAGAGAGAAAGTAAGAAAAAATTTAAACTCTGCTCGATTGAAGATGGGAGAGACGGAATTATATCTGCAATGACAAGATAAAGCCAGAGATAGATGGGTTAGAGAAAGGGGAGGGAGAGAAAGAGAGGGAAGAATGGAGAGAGGGGGGGGGGGAAGAATGGAGAGAGGGGGGAAGAATGGAGAGAGGGGGGAAGAATGGAGAGAGAGAAAGTGAGGAGAGTAGGGTGAGCCTTTTCACACCAGAAAAACATGAGTGTTCACTAGCCTATATTTGTATGGGGGTCATTCAGATGATAGTTTTTGAAGTATTAGCAAGACATTTAATATTTGAGCTCCAGAAGGGTTTAATTCCAGGAATTAAAAAAAAAAATTCCTCCCACTCAACTTCAAAACAAAACAATTTAAAAATATGTGTGATGCAAGTCATTAAAACTTACACAAATAAAATGGTGATTATGGGTCTGAATCATTATTGCTGAAATATAATATCTGAAAGTAATCTCCCACAATTCTGAACAAATAAAGTCATAATTAGGGGTCGTAAATTTGCAATATCCTGTGGCAAGTTTGTAGTTATTGATTGGAGTATTATTGGAGGTATTCAACTAAGTAGGTCAGGCATGTTATTAGCCAATGTTAAGGGCAACTTCGAGTAAGCGATCAATCTGTTCATGCAAGAAATCGTCGGCTCCCAGGGATACGTGCCAACAATTAAAGGGCTGGAATGAAAAACATATGCCAGAAGCAAAGGCAACTTTTGTATGATCTTTGTAAGTTAATATATAATTATTATGAATAATCTGTAGAGAGCCGAAAGGGCATTGACCCATGATGTCACACATAGCTAATGCCCTTCTAGCTTTCACCAAAATAATGACAGTATTGAAATCATTATTAGACAGTAAGGGAGGAAATTATGTTTCTTAAAGTGTGCTGTAGGCTTAATTAAATCATGTATTGAGTTTGTCCAGTGTTAAGAGCTGGAACGGCGTTGATTTGTACTGTTATACATGGAGTTGTAGCCCCTTTTGCTCTTAGCTAATGAAAAGTGGTACAAACATTATTCCAATTGTATGAGCAACAGCATAATAGAAACATGAAAAGAAGTTAAAGTATAGCTACACTGACCGGTTCCCTTTTAACACAAAGGAATCAGGAATGTGAATGGAAGTTTGTTTTTAATCCTAAAGTTACCTTCCCATGCCATTGTTGGTTTTTACAGAGAAAAGATACAATTGACTGACAAAACAAGAAACACTGGCAGGAAGTCATACATGATTATTTGAGAAACCCACAAAGATAATGCCTAGATTTCACACCGAATGAAAGAAAAAGGAGTATTACTTTCTTGAACAGAGGAAAGAACGTTGCAGAGAAAGACAAACTTGTAGTTTTTCTTAAAGATGAAAGCATCTTTTGTTGTCCTAGTAAAAGTACCTTACACTTTTTTGAATTACCTTACACAGCTTTATACAACAAATTTACAGTGTATGCAATTGGAGAGCAAAACATTTCTGTTTTATTTACTGATGTAAAGCGCTTTGAGCATGTTTTTGTAAAGGCGCTATATAAATATCAAAATGTATGTATGTATGTATGTATGGGGATACATTTCTAAACAAGAATTTAGACATTTATTTTTAGATTTTTAAACACAGTAAATGAAAGCGATTTTCATGTGCACAGAAGTTTCTTTTTTTACAACCCTGGGTATATATATATTACTCTGTTATTCCACACTACACAGGAACACAATCTATTCACTGTGAGTTTCTGGCCAGAATTCTGAAAATTCTCGGAATGCACGGTTGACGCTACTTGAGACATTGTTCAAATTCTTGTTTTTGTGTCCATCGTTCCGATGCCTGACCCTGTCTCAAGAAGTGTCATATTATGAGAGTCTATCAACCTTAGTTTCTTTGGAAAGTGTGGGGATTTAAGTCTGGAGTTTTAATAGGTTGTATTTACCATTCAGAACTTGTTTTCTTTCTTCTAGGATTTGCATTTTCATTGCAGTTTTCTTGGAGACGTCTGTATGTAGCTGGTTATCCAGTAACAATAAGACCTGGATGTCCTTTGCAATTGTTATGTTCTTGCTTTCGGTAGTCTGTAATTTTCAGACCCTCCACTCATGTTAAAGATTGTCGTAGAAAGGAACTCTCTATTTCTCTCTCTCTCTTATAGAAAATGAGAAAATTTGTTTTGCCTGCGCATATTTTTTTAAAACTTTAAAAACCAATGTATTGATGATCCTTGAATGCTTTTGGGAAAATAATATAATTTAGAGACTATGGTGGTAAGCGCTTTATAAGCACCGTTATCATTATTAATATTTTTTGAGAAAATAAAGCCTTGTAGGAAAGGCATTTAAAAATGACCCAATATCAATATCATTATGGCGTAAATATTCACTTCTGAATGATAAACACCTATAAACCAAAACAACAACAATATTAATATTCAGGGAGTAACAGAAAGAAAAAAAGAAAAAGATTAAAATTGTATGCATGTAGTTGATACATGGCACCCTGCTTTTTTGTCATTTCCAGACTTTCTCCATCCCTTCCTATACTTATAGGCATGTAAATCTTTTGCTGTTTTTCTAATTCTCTTTCAATATCTCTATATTCCATTCTCTTGCATTCTATTTTTCTCTCCCTCCCTCCCTCCCACCCACCCTCCCTCTCCCTCTCCCTCTCCCTCTCCCTCTCCCTCTCCCTCTCCCTCTCCCTCTCCCTCTCCCTCTCCCTCTCCCTCTCCCTCTCCCTCTCCCTCTCTCTCTCCATCTTTCATGGTAATCTCCTGGGTTATGTACCCTTCTGCTCCCTGTGAATTAGCCTTGCGTCCCCAGTATTTCATACCAGACGCCAGACATGTCATTATCAATCACAGAGCACCATGGGCAGAGTATTCTCATTAATGTGCGTCATGTTGAGGTATGCAAGATAAGATGAAAAAAGGCCTGTTTTCATCAGGCAAAGTTAATTATGAAAACAGCCCGCTAATTCTGATCCAGGGGGTAATTAGTTCGATCACAACTAGCTCTTCTTCTTCTTCTTGTAGATACCTCTAGCTCAACGTCTTACACCAGATTTTCTCACTGTCTATCATAAAGTACCATAGTACGACCAAAGATCTTCTCATTAATGTGTATATTGTTGAAGTATGCCAGGTGAAGAGAAATATTGGCCTGATTTCATTATCCCAAGTTTAAAAAAAATTGAAAGCCTACTCACCCTGATCCAGGGGAAAATTAGCCCAATCACAACTAGCTCAAGCTATTAATGTGCAATACAAGATGCGAAATAGCAGGCTAATTATCACCAGGGAGATGTGAATTTTTACATCTCCCAGATATCATCATTCTGCCTGGGATTTCAGGACAATCTATTGAGTATTGTCCCAAGTAATATATGATATGTCCCACTACTTGGCTAAAACTAGCACTTGCATCATGATAAAATGCTCTGCAGCTGGAGCTAATTCTTCGTGAACTTGAAGCAGGGATTGCATAACTGGGAGTAACTGAGTTGGGTGAATTTTAAAATTTAGAATACTTTCTCAAGAAGTATACTTGCAGATCAGTCTGATATCTTGCTAGGGCTAATGGAGAGGTACCAAGAGAGAGATGATATGAAGGAGAGATAGAGGCATGAGTTTGAGATTAAAAACCATGGGAACCATGCTGGATGAAATGATGCCAAACGGTGACACAAGTACAGGCATATTGTTGGGTTGATTACTGGAATATTTAGTGTTGTTTATTTGAGCTAATGGTAAGTATTGCTTGTAATTCCGGTTATGAGTATAGAAACAGGAGAAGAAAGAGTAAGATAAACAAAAAAGGAAGTAGTCAAGAGAGAGATGGAAGTATACAAAATGTCAGAAATTGAATTTTTGGGGAAATGTCAGAAAAATAATCTAACCTATGCATTCTGTTACTTTGCACGGGTTATAGTACAGCGCCTGACAGTGCTATTGGTAACAATTAAGCCCAACCATTACTCTTTGTCTGCTTATCTCAAAATAGACAGAATTAGCCTTGCTGTGTGAGATACGAGGAACAGTATATGACAGAGCTGCCAAAATCAATTAGTTAATCCCTTTATCTTGGTAGAAACAAATATTTATACATTTATTTGGGACTGAAAATAAATCAACATAGATAAAGCTACTGTATTCAAAACACTGTAAAAAGGAAGAAAATGTGTGCATTTTCATCATGAACAGTTAGCCTCATGAATATAACATTTGTACCAAAATTATTTGAAAGGTAAATTTTTGTGATAATTTGTTAATAGACTTTTATTGAAGCAAACGTTCCCGTTTTTAAAAATATAATCAGTAAAGATAAGCACCTACTGTATTGTGAAGAAAACTATTTGTTGTTGTTACATACCTAATTTTGTATCTGTCTCACTCTATTCATTTCTTTCCAAAGCTTAAAAAGTCTCAACATTAAAATAATAAGAACACCTGCAGCCATGTTTGTATTCACCTCCCATCCTTCTTAGCAGTGTCACCTATTTCTCATAATGGAAGTGACCAGCTTGTCATGTGGTTAATTTGATACAAAGGATATACCAT